GCTGTGCGGGAGGCGCCTGCGGGTCCGGCCCCTGGTGCTCCCCCGCTTTGCTCCCGTTTCCCTGGTCTGCTGGCGGAGACGGGGAGCAGCTTTTCTCGCCGCGTAGAAGGTGGGCGGCGGGACCAGGCGTCCCGCTGCTCCAGTTCTCCGGGGCGAGAAGTCCCCGTTCGTAACTGCGGATCCGACATAAGTCGGATCCGCGTAACTCGGGGACTGCCTGTATACCAAACACCAGACACTGTTTAACACTATTTAATATTGGACAGCGACTGGGTTCTTTTAATAGCTTTGGCCCACATATTCCATCTTACAATTTAATACAACGGTGCCAAAGAACGCAGAAAGGCAACTAAATACCTTTAAGGAGCTGAGTTGTAGACATTGTAATGCTAAGCAGAAAAGAACAATGCCAAATACCTTTACTAATCTGAGCCTAAGTATCTGAAATTTTTATTTTATGTCTTTATGTGCTTCACTCAAATTGGGAGCTATATGCATGATATCCATGCCATGAGAGAGAAAGCTATTTTCTTTTTAACAAAATGCAATTGGCAGAAACACTGAACAACTTCCAGCCTCAAATAATCAGTTCTGTGTTACACCTTCAGTTACTAATCATTGGATAGTAGGAAAAGATATTGAAGGCCTTATTTGGAGAAGAGCTGTGCACCAATGTTCCCTATAAGCTGTGTGCTTGTGTGGCTGCTCAGGAGAAATTGAAATGAGGCCCCACTGATTAGCAGAGCACTCACAACTAGATTTGTTTTTATCCTGGTGGTGCACATTGACACATGCCTCAGTGCACATAAAAAAAATTATTCTGCATGTGGGCTAAAAAAACCCAGCACACAAATGGAAAAGATTAGAGGGAACATTGCTGAGCACCCACAATTCCAACTGAAGTCAACAACAGCAGGTACTTAGCATCTTTGAAAACCAGTCCCTTTTTAGAAGTGTAGTTATTACTGGCAGGAAGTAAAAATCTGAAAATGGGTTTAAATTTCTATCTTATCTTGCAACATGTGGATTTACAGCAGTGACTCCATGTACATAATGAGGTACACACAGAATTCTTTCAGTGTGATTGTGATGGGGTGATGTCACAGAAGACTCCTTGGGGGGCTTCCCAGAGTGCTGACACGGCCACTGCCACTTGACTTCCCACTCTCTGGGGCTTCTCACTGCTTGGCCCTACTGGGCCAGCTCTGCTGGTTTCCCACAGCCAGGGCACCAAGCTGAGGTCACTCCCTCCCCTGCCCAAGAAGCAGTATAGACATCGTACCTCTTCAGGGCCAATGAGAGTGCAGTTTTGGGCCTAGAGTCCTGAGATACCACTCCTCAAATGGGATCAAAACCCCCAATGAATTATTTGGGTAAGCCCCCTTTAACAATGAAACGGGGAATGTACACACTGATTGTTCCCCGAGATAATAATTATTTACACTGGGCTTGACAGTAAGTAAAAGTAAGTTCATTACGTACAAGCAATAGGATTTAAGTGGTGATAAGTGAGAAAAAGCAGAGCAAAGTAGATTACAAATCAAAAATAACAAAAATCGCTTAGCTAATCCTAACACTAAAATCCTCAGCACAAACTTATAAACGTACCATAAAACTGTTTCTTTTCCAGCTGCCTTCCAAATCAGGGTCATCTCCCTTCTCCTGGGGTCTCTAGTTCACCCTCCACAGGTGTGTCCAGCCAGACAAAGGACTCCTACCTTCCTATTATTTTAAAAGAATTCCTTTATTCTTGCATGGGGAGTCACCTGGCTGCTCCCTACCAACCACTGCTAAGACTTAAGGACAAAAGGTTATTTGCATATGATTGCCCAGACATTGAGGGCTCCCAGCAGAATTACTCTTGGCTTTCCATTGACACATTTAAAAATCATAGAGTATTCCCTACTCCACATGTCTAATTTTACACAGAAGAGTGATACATACACCAAAATAAGATAAACAGAACCAGCAGATTATGACATGAAGATTGATAGGTTACATGAAACAATTTGATCAAAGCAACTTTTGAATTATGTACATTTATGTCCATAAGTCCAATTCATAAAGCATGGGGCAGGGAGTCCATCATAGTGATATCATCCATACTCATATTTAGAATGCAAGTTTTGGGAACAGTCAAGAGCACAGCCTTACACCAAAGCACAGCATCTTTTTCTTTTGAAGAGAGTTGTGTATTTAATTTATCTGTTGAATATAGTTTCATGCTGGGGTAGCCATGGAGACGGAGCCTTTAGTAACTCCATGCATTAGCAGGTCAAGTAAGCAAATCTACACAGCTCCATAGCAACAGACGAGCATGTAAACCCGAGCCTATCAGTAAAACATGCAGCAGGTTTCTTTGCATTCAGCATATTAACTGAAAGCACCAAATGACTATGACCGAAAGGAAAGGAAAGGAAAGGAAAGGAAAGGAAAGGAAAGGAAAGGAAAGGAAAGGAAAGGAAAGGAAAGGAAAGGAAAGGAAAGGAAAGGAAAGGAAAGGAAAGGAAAGGAAAGGAAAGGAAAGGAAAGGAAAGGAAAGGAAAGGAAAGGAAAGGAAAGGAAAGGAAAGGAAAGGAAAGGAAAGGAAAGGAAAGGAAAGGAAAGGAAAGGAAAGGAAAGGAAAGGAAAGGAAAGGAAAGGAAAACAATGTCAAAAGATATTTGTTTTACAACATATCTGCTACCTAGACAGGATCTGAAGAACTCTCATTCTACATCTGATTTTGAAGTCCATGCTAAAACTAGGCAAATTTTTTATCTAAAATATTTTTTCACCCA